TCATTCCAAAGAAATATTCAGAGCACAGACCATCAACACACCAGCCTGGATACATATGATAAAAGCGACCAGTACAGTATTGAACCTTGCCTGAGAATCCCATTATGGCTAATCCCATACGAAGGGCCTAAAGCACAAGATACTTTCCAAAAAATGTGGGTGACATGGTCCCTCACAGTAAAGATGTTATCGTTATTATTTCTAGAAGTAAAGTTCACTTTGATGCTTGCACAGAACCATTTTTCAAGGAGCACAAAAAGCTTTGGAAATACCATTTACTTAAATCACTAAGATATTCCTATGAAGCTGTGGCATACGTGAACAGCAGTCCGGGTCCCCAGATAAATTTTACCTAGCCCCTTCCGACATGCCCCTGCCGGAACCCACCGAGCCCATCCCTGCCTGAGGAGTCCGCCTCTGTGCCCGCCGGCAAGCAGGAGATGTTGTTTATCAACAGTTACGCGGCCTCCAGCAGCGAGAGGCAAACGTCTAGGACAACTGCTCTAGTCCCTGTGGTGAAGAACCTTCGGATGATGGGTCTTCTTGCCTTATAGTCCACTAAGCTGGCCCCAACTTCACCTTCCCTTGCCTCTTCTATGTTAAGGGGTCAGTTTAAAAGACAGAAACCAAGTGGACTCAGGACACAGGATGCTGAAGAATTCTCTTAGGCAAATGGGTACATGGGACAGACAGAAGGGAATAGGGGTGGGTAATTAATTGGGTTTGGGACACATTGTGTTAGGACACCACAGGCCATACAAATGGAATAGTTAGGTAGGAAGCTGAATGTAAGGTAGTAAGCTTGAGTAAATGATATGACTGGAAATAAAGATTTAGGAACAAGACATTCAAAGGCAAGGACTGATAGGCTTTATAGTTCAAACGACCATGAAAAATTATCAGCAACTTCTGCTTTTCTAAAGAACAACATTCTCAAATGTCTACGGCATTGGAGCCATTATATAGCACAGGGTCTTGATACTCAATCGGGCACCTGCCTGGGCTGGGAGTTGATCAGGTGCGGGACCTCCATCCACCCCACACCTACTGAACCAGAACCTGTGTCTTCACACACCAGAGGACTCAGGGGCCCATCAGTTTGAGACCACTGCTGCAGTGTTCCCCAAACTCTGGTTCTTAAAATGTTCATCCATTTTCAGCAAATGAGAAAAAGAAAAATACAAACATTAAACATAATAAATGCATTCAATTTAGAGAAATGTTCTTTATCCTGATGTTATACGCTTCCTTTGTTGATCTTGTTTACATGCCCTGTCTTTTCTGAAATTAAGGTAACGGCCATCTTGGCGATTTCTCTAACAGTAAGTTACTTAATACTTTATTGGTTCCACGTAACTTTAGAGATGTTATTTCCTTTGCCCAAAATATCTTCCTTCCTCTGCCTGACCTATTAAGCCCCAATTTCTCCATGAGTCACATTCTAACTACCAAAGCCCATGTACTAGCTTCTTAGGACCATCGTAACAAAATACCACAGACAGGTGGGCTTAAAATGAGAGAAACCTATTGTCTAACAGTTCTAGAGGCTGGAAGTCTGAAATCAGGTGTCAGGAGGTCCATGCTTTCCCAGAAAGCTCTAGGAAAGGATCCCTCCCTGTCTCTTCCTAGCTTCTGGTGGTGGCCAGCCATCGTTGGTGATCTCTGGCTTACAGCACTTACTCCAATTTCAGGCTGCGCCTCTGTATCACGTTCTCTCTGCATGTGTTTACGCTCAAATTTCTCTCATTTTACAAGAATACCAGCCTTTGGATTAGGGCCTACCCTAACCCAACAGGACCTCATCTCAAATGGATTACATTACACCTATTTCCAAATAACCTCACATTCACAGGTACCTGGGGTTCGGACCTGAACATATTTTTGGGGGATACAATTCAACCCACAACCGTCAATAATGATGTATTCCTAAAAGAAAATCTCTTGATAATTCTCCAAATTACGTGGTAAGTACTGTAATATAGTGCTTTCAAAATAAAGCACAAAATAAAAATATTAAGACTATATTGTAATAAAAATCAGCACAAGACTTACCATTTGTGTTCCTGTTTCACAAATTGTATTCACTGTAGGAAGCATAAACTCCAAAGTGCAGAGATTTTTCCTCATGGTAGACTGCTTTAGCCCTTACTTTTTTCTTCCCTAGCATTTTTGGCACCCCTTATATTTTTTTAGCACCTTTCTGACCATCACTGCTTGGTACTACCTATTCAACTTGTTAATTCTGTCTCAAAGTCTTGGTGTCAGGAATTACTTAGGGCCAATTTCTGACCTCCCAAGTCTTAGATGGCTGGAGGTCCTCAGGAAGTTCTAAGCCACACTAACTGGCAAGGCTTAAAGAGTGCAGTGAATCTAACACTATTTGGGAAACACTGTTTCAGCTTAGAGATATTCAGATCCAGGGTTTCAATCTGAAACCTATCTAAGATTTCAATTTTGTATTACAATATTATATACAGTATTCAATATTATATGGTTATATAGTCTCAAGGCAACAAAATGTTGACTGCTACTCAGTCTATGGAAAGTGAAATACAGCCTGAACATGCTAAAAAACAGGTAGATATAGCTCATAAATGGTACTCTATAAGCACTGGCTCTTTAATTTTCATCCTATCCCTGTTGAGCTACACAGAGCCTCCTTTTCTGGAAGAAAAAAATAACCCTACAGCACAAAGGAGTTTAAAAGTTAGGCACACATTCGTTTGCCAGCTATCTAAGAGTCAAATGATTGTTTTACTTTTCGGGGAACAATGCTGTGCAAATATGGTCAGTGATAAATGAAGGTGACACCTTAGGACTTTTGGATGGTTCTTAAATTCTTATTTTGGGTCTGCAATTTCAACTGCCACATTTGCTGTTTCTAAAACTAATTCTCTATTCCATTCGTTTCCTCTAAATTACCTCTATTAGAGGAGAAGATGAAATTGCAAGTAAAAAAGTAAAAATGTACTTGGGAGGTATCATGACATAAGAATACTGTTGATTAAAGCCTTTGGATCGGGGCGCATGGGTGGTTCAGTGGGTTAAAGCCTCTGCCTTCAGCTCAGGTCATGATCTCAGGGTCCTGGGATTGAGCCCCACATTGGGCTCTCTGCTCAGCAGGGAGTCTGTTTTCCCCCCTCTCTCTGCCTGCCTCTCTGCTTACTTGTGATCTCTGTCTGTCAAATGAATTAAAAAATCTTTAAAAAAAAATAAAGCCTTTGGATCATCATTTAATCAGTTAATCCATGATGTTCAAGAGCTCAGTTAACTGTGTCTAAAGTCAAGTAGAGATGAGTGATATTTTATCAAGTTTATTTCATATAAGATAAATGAAAAAGCTTTATCTCCCAAAGTCTTCCAGTCCCTTCTTACTAATTTATAATCCCCACTTGGTTTTCTTATTTAGACTTTCCACCCCTCCCTAAGGTTCCAGGTTAAAGAAAAAAAAAATGTGAGGTAAGGAGCACTTGAAAATAAAGAAAAGCAAAAGTACAGCTGAAAATTGCTAGAGAAAGGTATTTTCTTTACAAATTCGTTGACTGTGGTTCTCTATAGGGAGAACCAGACCACACAGGTGCACAGGTCCAAGTACAGCAATGACAACATGAAAAACTGCGATGGACTTCCTGGAGGGTTCCCTAAGCCTTCTAGGAACAGATGTAATGCCCAAGTGGCACCAAGAACAGGGCAAGCACAAGTCACAGGAGGGGCTGAAGGTGAAGAAAATGAGACCTCACCCCTCTTAGAAGAAAGATGGAAATGTTCCAAAGGCCCTCTCTGCCTCACCCTCACCTTTGTCCCACTGTTTAGGCTCCCCTTATTGGAACTCCATTTCTCTCCGTGGCTGTCTGGGCCTGAGTGTCTGCTGTTCAGTCATGAGAACTGCCTCCTACCTCCCCAGTCTGGGTCCGCTTTCCTTCTAACATTCTTTCCCAGATCACGCTCCTTCAGAACTCCTTCCTGCCTGAAGTTTTAGCTACTCATTCGTTAGGGTCATGATGCCCTTAACTCTGTATCCCCTACTAGACTGCGTGCTCCAAGAGAAGAACCACGCCTGTTGTGTTGCCCGCAGTGTGGACAGCGCCTCCTAGCACCTGCCGGCTCCATCACGCCCTTCCTCGCCTATTTGTGAAAGGAGCCCAGCAAGGCCAGCACAAGTGATCCGAGATCAGGTACACACTTTTGAACTTGAACCTCTCCCTGGGACTGTAAAACTCCCAATCAAAGACTTAATCTGAGAATGCACACATCTGAACAAGTGATTAGAGACCGGTAAACATCTCCTCAAGCCTGACGCAAACGAGACGCGTAGGGTAGTATTTGTTCTTACCATGCAGGGCTAAAACACCACAAAACAAAAACACGGTATATGAATTGGGAAGGCTTTCGACTACTCCAAAATTATTTGTGGAGACCCCTTCAGGGGTGGCTGTTTTAGGGGAAGCAAAGATTAAACAGATGGGGCTCTGCTTCCAGGGTGTTTATGGTTTCAAAAAGGCACATTTATAAATAGCCGTAATGCAACCCAGAAATGACTAAAAAGCTGGAGAGACTGAGAAACAGCAGTAAATGAGGCGAGAGGTCTCCGAAGGAAGGCGTGGATTAGTCAGTCTATCGATTACTTCTCCTTGTAATCCCAGGGCAAAGAAAGGAATTCCAAACCAGGAAAGGTCACGCTGGAAGACTGGGGGAACACACTGGAATGCAGGCATCGCCCTAAGTCCTTCCCATCCTCGTCGGGCACGACCTCGCCGCGGAAAGTCTGGAACTGGCTTCCCAAACCCCGAGCTACGGAAACGGGGCGAAGAAAGGGGAAACCCCACGGGTGCGAGCGCGGAGGGAAGGCAGGACGAAACCTGAAAACGCAGGACACGTCAGCGCTACACACAGCCCGGCCCGCGCCCCGGCCCCGGCCCCGGCCCCCGGCCCCCGGCCCCCGGCCCCCCGAGCCCGCGCCCCCGCGCGCCCCCGCCCGCCTCGCCCCGCCGGCCTCCTACCGTATGTTTCGGACATGGCCGTCTGCGACATCTTGGGAGCGGCACCGCCTCTCGCCCGGTCGCCGGCTGCAGCTCGGCCCGGCGGGAGAGGAGGGTCCGGGTCGTCCTCCGCGTCTCGGTGGGAGCGGCGCGGGGCAGGGGACCGGAGAAGGGACGGACCCGCGGTCCCCACCGCAACCGCCGGCCACCCCGCGGCTGCGGCCCTGCCGGACTGGCGGCTCCGCGCAGGCGCAGGGCCTCCGCCCCCCGGCGGGGCCGGGACGAGGACGGGAGGAGGGGGGCGGAGGCGGAGGAGGAGGAGAGGGGGCGCGAGGCCCGGCCCCCGCCGTGGTCGCGCGTGCGCACGCAGCCCCCGGCGGTGCTAGGCGCGGGGAGGCCCGACCCGGGGCGGGGAGGCCCGACCCGGGGCGGGGGGGCGGGGAGGCCGGGGCTGGACTCGGGGCGCGGACGGCCAAGGTCCGGTTGCCGGGGTGGGGAGGCGCCCGCGATGTGTAGGCTTGCGGGTGACCGAGCGTTGGGGCCTGCGGGGTCTAGCTCTTGGGTGGCGGTGGCAGAGTGCCTGCAGTGGGAACACAGTCCTGCCGGATCGGCCCTCCTCGGTAAAGACTTGGTCGTCGTCCTTGGCGGCTCCCTGGCAGGAAAAGACTTCCTCCCCTGGACTACTTTGTGATCAATCAGAGAGCGTGGTTAACGTGTAACCAGGCGGCAGTAGCCCCAGGTGTCCAGCTAGACACCAGATGAGGAGGCTGGCGGACCTGCGGGGAAACTGAGCTTTCAGTCCAACCGGCCAGGCCCTCTCCTGGTGTCTGGGCTGGTGTCTGGAGAAAACTGTCGGAAGCTTACGGTGCGCTGGTGCCGGAGAGTCCCCCAAAGCCCATAGACATTGGCCCCTCCGCGGCCCAATGCAGGGGAATCTAGCTTATAAGCAGGAAGCATACCTTGGTCCTCAACTAAGGTTAGGAGTTGTTGGCTGGGGATTCTGATTTAAGGTGCACAGCTGTCTTCAGAATCCTCTTCTGCTGGAAATGCAGCGAGAAACATTAGGAAGAGAATTTTGGTTGGGAGTTTGCTTGGCCTGAGCCTGGTCAGGGCCACATCGTATCACCTAAGACCCAACTTTATTCAAAAGATATAGTAGAATACTAAAAATAGGCCTTGGCTAAGCTCCTAAGTATCTTGGACTGTGGGGAAGTGCTAGTAAATACATTTTTTTCCCTGTCCATTTGGCTCCATCCTCCACATAAATTGGCATCAGACTTCACTGAGGTCTTCCCTTCTTCCCCAATGGCCACTTGGCTCTACATTTTATTCTTTCTGATCCTAATAGCAAATAAATATGTCCTTGCTTCTAAACAACAGACAAGGCCCCATGTTGAAATATTGTGAGAACTGTAATTTCCCAGAATTATTTTGTATGTTTCTTACTCAACGGGCTCAGATACTTTGTTGCTTTTTTATTTGGGTTTCTGCCTGTTAGTTTTAATTGACACTACTGAGTGCAGCAGGCTAATCTGATTGAAACTATTTCCAAAGAAAGACAGGGATCCCATTCTTTAGATCTAAGTTTTCTTCCTTCCAGAAGCTTCCGTGGGTAAGAAAGGAAATCACCAGATTATTGACTGAAACTGGACTCGCGATCTCTGAAACCTGGACAGAGTGGTAGAAATAAAAATTAAGCTGCTATTTCAAAGCTGAGAACAGTTACCTATTCTGTGGACCAGGAAGACTTACAGAGACCTTTCTGGAAAACTCTTTGTTTTGGAAAAACTGCCCAAAGAAATCATTTAGTTTGCAAAGAAAAAGCCAGATATCACACTGGAAAAGGAAATACTTGAGCTGAGATTTGAAGGAGCTAAGTTTTTTGAATAACAAGGTGGAAGAGACTTTGCATTCTAGTCACCTGGGATCTTTGAGAGAAAATAAATTTATCCTAAAAATTCTCAGAGATCGCTTTGATGCTGAGGTGCTATTGATTGTGTGAAAGGAAAACTTGTTGCAAAATTAGTGTTTTCTCCAGTTATTGTCTTCATTCTATTTAGGGGAAGTCTGTGACCGAGTAAAAGTAGGTTTCCGAAAGCCTAATAAGCACCTTGGAGATTTGTCTACAGGAGTTGAAGGGAGAAGGATTTCTTCCAAAATAGATCCACTCCTACCCAGTCCTTAGGATGGTGGGTCCTGCAAGTCTCTCGTACTTTCCCCTTTTTTCTCTGGCAGTGCTGCACATTTAATAATCGATTAGGAACCTCAGAGGGCTTCCAGCCTCCAAAAGATTCCTGTTCCTCAGGACTGGCAGAGGACCACACGGGACAGGACACAGATGGGCACAGATGGACAATGACTGAGGGGACTTCTAGACTCCTGGGCATAGGTTTGGACCCTGAACAGTGGTCCAGTCCCCTGGGGGTGGAGAGAGGCTTAAAAAGGCCTAGGAATGAGAATCCAGCACGACCTTGATGTTCCAGTGGCATTGGGAATGACAGGACATGGCATCCTTGGCAGAGCTAGACTTGGTGGAGAGCACTGGTCACAGTTTGTGGGGTATGGTGACTTTACTTGGTGGCTGGAGTTGAAGAACTTAAGCCAACTGTGTCTGAGTCCTTGAGGACTCAGAAATATCTAGGTGTTACTTTGCGAAGGAGCCAAGTTCTTCCCAGGTAGGTAGGGGATTGAAAAGGTAATAGCTTTTTATTTTTTAAAAAGGATTTTATTTATTTGTTTGACAGAGAGAGATCACAAGTAGGCAGAGCAGCAGACACAGAGAGAGGGGGAATTCCGCAGGCTCCCCGCTGAGCAGGGAGCCCGATGTGGAGCTCGATCCCAGGACCCGGAGATCCTGACCTGAAGGCAGAGGCTTAACCCACTGAGCCACCCAGGTGAACCAAGTGGTGATATCTTTTTAAACAAACAAGCTGGTAACACCTGTGACACATAGCTCTTCAGGTTGGCAGAGACCTCAGAGGCCACTGGACCAGTTTGTTTTCCAAGACCATCTGAAACTACCACCTCTGTGATTGGACATGTCTGTTGTTAGGGGATATTGTTGAGGATGGGCTAAATTAGCTGCAGTAACAAAGATCTCCCAACATGCCCGTGACTAACACAATGAAGTTCACCTCTCACTCAGACCACCTGCCCCACTCATGCTGGGCTCCATGGGAGCACCTGCAGACCCAGGCTGACCTAAGTCTCATGGAAACACATGCTCCTACCATCACTTGGGCAGGAGAAAAAACCAGCACCAATGATGCATTAGCCCAGGATAATCCCATCGGGAGTGGGTAGAATCACCTCTGTTTATGTTTCAAGGGCCAAAGCAAGTCATGTGCCTACACCTGATTTCAAAGAGAACAGAGAGTGCTATATTGTTACATCCCAGAGGGAAAAGAGAAGAGGATATATTTGGAAAGATGTGATGACTACCAGAGAACTCTGTACCTGTCCAGAGAGCTTATTCGGCTTTGAGTTTAAATAACTGCATTGAAGTGTAATTGACATAGTTGTACATATTTGAAGGAGACACAGTTTTTGCTGTAGGGGTACACCTCTGCTTGCTGCTACTGTCATGTCACTACTTTTGGTCTTTTTAGGGACATTTTCTACGATTCCATTGTATTTACTTTGTTGCTGATTAGGAATAAAATTCTTGTAGGGTTATTTTAGTGGTTGCTTTTCTACGATTCCATTGTATTTTCTTTGTTGCTGATTAGGAATAAAATTCTTGTAGGGTTATTTTAGTGGTTGCTTTAGGGTTTATGGTATAGGTTTTTAACTTATCACATGGTCCACCTGTATGTGCTGTGCCATTTTATGTAGAGTGTAAGAACCTCACAACATTTTGCCTCTGTCCTCCCCATTAACCGTGCAGTGGAGGTCCTACTTTTGCAAGTCTTGTACACCCCACATACTTACTCTGTTGTTATTTTTGTTTTAAGCAGCCAATTCTCTTTATAAAATTGTGGTAAAATATGCATCACATGAAATTTGCCATCTTAACCATCTTTGCGTGTACAGTTCATTAACATTAAGCATGTTCTCTATGTTGTGCGACCATCCATCTCCAGAATCTTTTCATCTTGCAAGCTACAGCTGTCTCCATGAAACACCAAATCCCTGTTCTCCCTCCTCCCAGCTCTTGCAACCACCACCCTATTTTCTCTCCCTATGATTTTGATGCTCCAGGCACCTTAATATGAATGGACTCATACAGTATCTGTTCTTTTGTGATTTCCTTCCTTTTCAAGGATGAATAATATTCCACTGTATATACACACACACACACCATATTTTCCAGAAAATTCTCTTTAAATAGATTTAAACAAGTATTTTATATTTACCCACATACATACCATGTCTAGGATGCCTCCATCCCTTACACACATTCCAGTTCCATGTGGTATCCTTTCCTTTTTGCCAGAAGTAATTCCCTTAGCTGATCTCGAAGGGCAGTCTGCTGGGAATGAATTCTTCCTGCCTTTATGTACCTAAAGATGCCTTTATTTCATTTCTGTTCTTGAATAGTATTTTTCTTAACTTTAGAGTTCTAAGTGAGCAGCTTTTTTTTTTCTTCTAACATAATGTTTTCTGGCTTATGTTATTCCTAATGAGAAATCTATGGCTATTCCTCATTCCTTTGTACACAGTTTTTTGGTTTTCTTAAAATATCTGCCTTTTTAAAAGATTTTATCTTTATTACTGGTTTATGGATTTCGGTTATGATGTGATGTGCCTCGGTGTGGTTTTCTTTGTGTTTCTTGTCCTCATGTTCCATTAAATTTCTTTGGTCTGTGAATTTATTGTGGTTTTGTTTGTTTGTTTGTTTGTTTGTTTTCAGATTTGGATTGCTTCTTCAGCCATTATTTCTTCACTATATTTTCTGCCCCTCCCTCTCTTCTTCTCTGGTGACTCCGTTATGTGTGTATCAGCCCATTTGAATTTGTCCCACAGCTAACTGATGCTTTGTTCACTTTTGCCAGTCTTTTTTTCTTCCTGTGTGTCATTTTGGATAATTTCTAGTGTCATATTTTTAAATTCACTAATCTTTTCTGCAATATTTAATCTCTCAATCCCATCCATTGTATTTTCCCTTTCAGACATTGTAAATTCATTTCTAGAAGTTCAATTTGCAGATACATATATCACGTTCCCTACTTATTCTCATTCTCTCCTTTAGTTTCTCGCACATACAGAATATGTTGTAATCATGGTTTTAATGTCATTTTCTGCTCATTTTATCAT